TGGGTTGGAGCCTGTGTGTGAACTGGGATCCAGACAATCACTGACTGAACTCATCTTTACAGGCTGCTGCACCAAGGCAAGATAACAAGCACAAAGGCTGTCAGAGTGATTAATCCAACATATCCCTCAACTGACAACCACAAAGCCTCTGCTTTTTGTGCCTCTGCCTTGTATTTGAAGATGATGTAAATCACAGAGCCAAAACATCTAATTAATTAATCAGTTCACAAAATGGTAACATCTAATTAGTGTGTACAATGTTAATTCTGAAATGAGTTGCAGAATTAAGTGATGGAAGTGGAAGACATAATTCAAAAATTTTAAGGCTGATCAAAGAAAAAATTAAGGAAAACACAAGATAAAAGGAGACTGTAGTCTTTTATGAGAGTGCAGGGTGAATGTCTCTACTGAAATATTCCTACCTTTGACTATCTTACCACATATCCTATACCTGTGAGTACTACTTAGGGAGCTTATTAGAAATTTGGCCATTCATATAAATACTTTATTTCATATGGAATCTATAAAAATAAAGTGATATGCCCAAATTTGTATAACAATAATGGACTGAATTAAAAGCATATATTGTTTTTGCGACCCCATAGACTGTAGAGTCCATGGAATTCTGCAGGCCAGAATACTGGAGTAGGTAGCCTTTCCCTTCTCCAGGGGATCTTCCCAACTGAGGGATTGAACCCAGGTCTCCTGCATTGCAGGTGGATTCTTTACCAGCTGAGTCACCAGGCAAGCCCAAGAATACTGGAGTGAGTAGCCTATTCCTTCTCCAGTGGATCTTCCTGACCCAGGAATCAAACCAAGGTCTCCTGCATTGCAGGCAGATTCTTTACCAACCGAGCTATTAGGGAAGCCCTAAAAGTAAAGCGATATGCCCAAATTTGTATAACAATAATAGACTGAATTCAAAGCATATCTTGTTTCCTGTTTTTTTTCCCACTTGCTTTATTATCTGATCTGTACTTTCATCTTAATGCTTCCTAACATTTTCTATTTGTAGCTGGAACTGTGGATGAAACAGATACTATGATTTCTATTTTATATTTGGGAAAAAAGAAAAGTTACTATCAGATGATAGCTGGTGGCACTGTAGGAAAAGAAAAGACTGAGCCTTACTGAGCATGACGAACTGAGGACAGCATTATTACCTGCCAAGTTATCATCCTTGCCTACCTGACAAACTCAAACTCCCTGGTCTTCCCAGTCATTCCACCTACACGGAGAAATATACTTCCTTGAGTGACACTGTTCCCATCAAGTTTGACAGACAGTTTGTGCCTCCAACCTGGAAACAGAGAAAACAGGAAAGAGAGAGAGAGAGAGAAAGAAGGGTTTAAAACACGTGGAAAGCATGACATCTTTGTTACTGTTCAGTCGCTAAGTCGTGTCCGACCCTTTGAGACTCCGTGGGCTGTAGCACAGCAGGCTTCGCTGTCCTTCACTATCTCCTGGCTACTTTAATGTAAATATAACTTTCCGGGTTAAAGTGGAAGAGGGCTGTTCATGTTCATGAGAAAATAATAACACAACTTTATATAGCTTGAGTGAATTTGGTGAGATTATATTTTTAAAGACATATAAACTATCACACGTTGATTTTGCAGAGTGAAAGTTTAATGATATTTTTTAAAGAAAATTATTTACTTTTCCATACATTTTTTGGACTTTAGAATAATGTGTGTGTCTTCTTCCATCCACTACATTTGTATTCTGTGGTGTGTATGCTTTCCATCAGTTCAGTTCAGTTCAGTCGCTCAGTCTTGTCCAACTCTTTGCAACCCCATGAACCACAGCACCTCCCTATCCATCACCAACTCCCGGAGTCCACCCAAACTCATGTCCATTGAGTCAGTGATGCCATCCAACCATCTCATCCTCTGTCGTCCCCTCTCCTCCTGCCCTCGATCTTTCCCAGCATCAGGGTCTTTTCAAATGAGTCAGCTCTTCGCATCAGGTGGCCAAAGTATTGGAGTTTCAGCTTCAGCATCAGTCCTTCCAGTGAACACCCAGGACTGATCTCCTTTAGGATGGACTGAATGGATCTCCTTGCAGTCTAAGGGACTCCTTGCTTTCCATAGCCAAATTCTAATTTGCTATAATTTGACAATTAATCCATAAAAATATCTAGAAAACCTATTGCGCAAGAAAGTCTGTGTTTTTTAAATGACTCAGAGGCAGAATGAATTGTCCCTTCCTCTCCCGCCAGGCTTTGTGCTAGGAGTTCCCAGTCAGTACAGGTCTGAGTCAACACAAAGCCTGCCAGTAGGATAAATCCCTTGCAAACAGTCCAGTGTAACTTTTAAAGAACTCTAGAACTAAACAGATCTTTCATTCTGAATTCTAAAATTGTTGTATGCTTAATAACACAGAAAAAAATGCGATTCTTCATAAAGTTGTTTGAAAAGCCTCTGAAAGAGGAAAAAATACTAGAGAGAATTTTCAGTTCACAAATTAATCATCATCAGAAAGCTCCATTTCCCTCCTTGCCCACTCCACTGCACTATGGCTGCCACCGTCACCTCTCCACTGAAAGCTAAACTCACCAGTGATGGGACTTATCCCACGAACTCCTTTGGGCCCTGTCTCATTGGACCTATCTTTGTGGACAGTGAATGCATTCTCCCTTCCTCATCATCTTTCTTTTCTTGACTCCCACGTGGTTTTATCTTTTCTCTCTTTATTCATTCCTCAGTGTCCTTCACAGGGACTACTTTCTCTGCTCTCTTTCTTCTCATCTGATATATTCTTCTTGGGTAATTACATCATCCACTTCATAGCTTAGGTTACTGTCTAAACATTCGAATCTTTGACTGTGGACCACGGTGATCTCCAGAGGCTGAGACCCATTCTAACTGCACATGCCCAAATCCTAACAACATCTCAGACCTAATATGTTACAAACTGAGCCCATCAACTTACTTCAAACCAGCCTCTCTGCCTGGTTACCAAGTTCAGCATATGATATGTCATCCACCCAGTTAGAATCATCCTTGACTTCTCCACTTTCTGCATCCCTCAAACCCATTCACTGAGTTAGACAAGGCTGACTCTCACATCCATATAAGACTACTGGAAAAACTAGATGGACTGTCTAGTCAAAGGTATGGTTTTTCCAGTAGTCATGTATGGATGTGAGAGTTGGACTATAAAGAAAACTGAGCGCCAAAGAATTGATGATTTTGAAGTGTGATGTTGGAGAAGACTCTTAAGAGTCCCTTGGAATGCAAGGAGATCCAACCAGTCCATCCTAAAGGAAATCTTTCCTGAACATTCATTGGAAGAACTGATGCTGAAGCTGAAACTCCAATACTTTGGCCACCTGATGTGAAGAACCAACTCATTAGAAAAGATTCTGATGTTGGGAAAGATTGAAGGCAGGAGGAGAAGGGGATGACAAGAGGATAAGATGGTTGGATGGCATCACCGACTTGATGCATATGAGTTTGAGTAAGCTCCAGGAGTTGGTGATGGACAGGGAAGCCTGGTGTGCTGTGGGTCCATGGGTTCGCAAAGAGTCGGACACAACTGAGTGACTGAACTGACAGACCCATTCACCCAGTTCCTTTTTTTTTTAATTAAAACTCTTTTTATTTGTTTTTATTTATTTGGCTATGCCAGGTCTTAGTGGTGGCACTCAGGATCTTCCATCTTTAGTTACAGCATGCAGGCTCTAGTTCCCTGACCAGGAATTGAAGCCACGTTCCCTGTATTGGGAGCATGGAGCCTTAGCCACTGGACCACCAGGGAAACCCCTCACTCAGGTCCTTTTTGCTTCTTTCTGCCCAAAGATAAAACTCAAACTTCCCATATGGAGCACAATTTCATTATTTGACCCGATTTACCTCTCTCATCTTACCTGCCTCATATTACCTTCCTCCTGGTCTCTACAATCTCAGCAGGGGGATCATTTTTAGATTCCAGCTCTCCCTTATCTCCAGGCATTTTCAAATGCAGTTCCTTTTGTTTGGAACACTCTATTTCCTTCCCTCTGTTACTTACCTTTCAGGAATCAGCGTCAAAGGCATCTTTCCTTGGAAGGCTCCCTGATCTGAGTGCAGAAATTCCTTCTTTGCATCTCCCAACAGAAAGTTTACTACTTAGGGTTGAAACTCAGAATTTTCCTTTTCTTTCCCCCAGCCTAAACTCACTGTGTTGTTCTTCACTGCATCCTCAGAGTCTGGCCCGATGCCCAGTGATTTAGTAGACATTCAGTAAAAACTGTTGAATATTTAAAGGTAAGTGCCTTAAGGCATTACAATAAAATTCAGCTATGATACTTACGGGCAAATGGCGCAAGAGTCCCTGTGTTTAAAAAATAATATAATCTATTAGGCTTCATTTTTTTTAGGTGAAATCTATCAGCAAAATGACCCATTGTTGGGCAACCTTCCTTGGGACAATGGAAGCAATTTCCCTGGTGACAGAAAATAAGAGGTAATTAGAAATGTAATTAGAAATGCTGACTTTCAATAAACTCAGAATGTACTATTAAACTATAATAAATCTATCGAGTCTAAATAAAGTATATGCATTTAAGAATGACTAAGTTGCCTAATAGACCATCCGGCCTGTTTTCAAAAACAAAACATAATAAAACAAAAACAACTGAGGGATAAGGGAAAGGGGCTGGCTGTCAGAAAAATGAGTAAATAACATGAATAGACAGACAGTCCATAGAAGGGGAAAGTCAATAGTCAATAGCTATGTAAAAAGATGCTCAATCTTACTAGCTGTCAGGAATGCAAATTAAAACAACATACAATTTCATACTCAGCAGATTTGCAAAAATTAAGGCAATTGGAAATACCAAGTATTGGTAAGATATGGAGTGGGGAATTCTCATTTGCTTCTTATGGGAATATAAATTAACAGACGTTGCAGAAGACATTTGGTAATGTCTAATAAAGATGGAAATGCACATATGCTTTGACAATTTCACTACTATTATATGTCATAAAGCAACTTCTACACTAGTACATAAGGAGATACACAAAGGTGTTTATTGCAGAATTGCTTTTAATAACAAAAACTGCAAACAACCAAAATACACGTTTTTAGGGGAATGAATAAATAAAATGTGGCTGATTCCTCCAGAATTCCTACTAAATACAATAGGTCTATATATGTCAATGTAGATCTTATAAATTTTAATTTAAAAGCAAATTCAGAAAGACACTTACAGTAAGATACTCTCTCTCTCTCTCTCTATATATATATATGAAATAAAGTCAAGTCACTCAGTCGTGTCTGACTCTTTGCAACCCCATGGACTGTAGCCTACCAGGCTCCTCTGTCCATGAGATTTTCCAGGCAACAGTACTGGAGTGGGTTGCCATGTATTATATATATAAATTTCCCTCAAAGTTTGCCTTGGGGAAGGGCATGAAGGGAATATAAGGTACTTAAATTTTATCTGTGTATTTTAAAATCTAAAGCAAAACTAAAAAAATACTAATTTAGTGTTGGAGTATTTGCTATTTCAGGTTTTTGAACTTTCGGACTTATAAACTACACTGTAGTGTAGGCTAGGGCTACAGTGCACGCGTGCATGCTCAGTCTCTACAGTCGTGTCCGACTCTGTGATCCAGTGGACCACAGCTCTCCAGGCTCCTCTGTCCATGGGCTCCTCCAACCAAGAATATTGGAGTGGGTTGCCATTTCCTCCTCCAGGGAATCTTCCCAACCCAGGAATCAAATCTGCCTCTCCTGCACTGCAGGCCGATTCTTTAGTGCTGAGCCACTGGGGAAGCCTAGGATTATAGTAAAACACCCCATTTAAAAATTCCATTTTTAATGAGAAAAAATACTAACAAAATAATGAGGGCTCATATTGACTGAGTGCTTACCATGTGCAAGGCACTGTTTGATGCACTTTATATGCATTTAGGTCAATTAATCCTCACAAAATCACTTATTATTACAATGTTTTTAGTCTCCTTATTTAGCAGATGAGGAAACTAAAGCCCAGAGAAGTAAGCAATTTGTCTGAGTTTGTTTGTCTATTAAGTGAAGACGCAAGAATGTGAATCAGATGGCCTAGCAACTAAAACCCCTATTATTTTATTTACTTAGTTTTTAAAATTCCATCTCATTTTTTATGACTGTTGGCTAAAAGCACAATAAAACAAGTCAAGGAAATTGACTTAACATTCTCTAGTTTGTTGCCATAATTAGCATCTATGTGGCATAGGAGCCTATGGTTCTCCAGGTTTTAGCCGATTGAATCCCACTAACGCTGAATATACTGTGACTCTGAGAACCTGCTTTCACCTGCCTTTGATGTAGTGAATGTCAGGATGCCTTTAGCCATTCAGAGCAGCATCTGGGGCTTGAAGAAGGATGAGTTTGGGGAGAAGGAGGTTTAGGGGAAATGTCAGTGCTTGTCTGGCAAGGTTTCTGAGAATAGCAGTTCACCAGCCACATATGAACAAAGAAGACATGCCCAGGAACTGAGAAGACAGCCTGAGGGCTCACTCACCTTGATCTGTAACAGGAAGGAAACACTTATTCCTGTCCCAACACTGTTCTTATTCACAAAATGCTATTGCTTGTAACACACTTTGGTTTGAAACCCCACATTTTTCTACCCTGATAAAACAGGGGATAGGTCTCTAAAGCACAAGCAAGAAAATATTTCTACTTTCCACTACAAAACAGATTTTCTCTTTACCTTTTCATAGTGATAAGCAAATGAAAAATATGGTCAGCTCAGATCTGGCACCCCGTGCTTCATGACTCAAGTAAAATCAGATTTGTTATTTTGTAATGTATATTGATCTTCATGGAATTCCTATGAGCTATCTATGCTTCAGTTCTGCTCTGTATGAATAATCAAATTTTAATAAAATAATTTTCATGTTCCAGGTAAACAGTAATATGTTTGATAGTAGCTATTAATTGCTTCAGCCGTCTCAGGGCATCTTAGAGGATGACATTTAAATATATACACACAAAAATTTTTGCGCTGGACTTATGCCTGGTACACAACATCTAATAACTGCATAACAAATGACCAAAAAAGCAAAATTGGATATAATTCAAAAGAACTGAAACAACCAGAATACAAATAGTTGGTTTGGTTATTTAAGCCCTTCAGCAACCCCAGCTACTGTTCAGTACTCAGCACAGAAAGAATCTATTATTTACCAAAATGGCAGATGCATTTTTTTTTTTTGCTACATACTCAATGTTCTAATTTTTAGTTGGCTGATCATGCTTCAAAAAATGACTTGCTAATTGAATTACATGGCAAAATGCTTTACTTACTGCTTTAAAAGATTTGTAGGATCTACAAGGATAAGCAATAAATGCATCAGGATTGAGAATGCTTTCAGCATAAAAGCGATGACTTCGGGCATGGTTGCAATCAAAGAAGGAAAACACTTCTGTGAAAACAATTTCCAATTAACTGGTAGCAATGAACTGATAACTGATAGTATGAAACGTTTCCTAGAAAGAGTAATGTTAAATGATAGTTTCTTGACTTGGATCTGGGTCACCAGAACTTGTGTGTAGTCTTAGATATTGCACATTTATTAACATTACATATAATTTTCTTGTACCAAAGAATTCTTTGAGTCTAAAGGGACATTTAATGTAAATGACTGTGTTCTGATACTAATATCCCCAACACTTCCCAGATATCTGACATAAGCACTTAAGAGTTTTAAGTATCACTGTGTACACAGTATCTCTGCCTTAGACCAATTAATTCTCTTGTCTCCCTGCTTCTGCAGGAATGACTGAACTCCCTCCTATTCAATCATAAAACAGCAAGCAAGGCTAACCAGTGCACACCTTCAGCTGAGTTTCAAGATGTGACAGGTGGAATGTATTGTAAAGAATGCTATAGACAAATTGGTTTTGTCATTGTCAGGCACAGCATTACTGCCACTAGTAGTTAGGATTACTGCAATAATTCATAAAAATTCTAAGTACATTTGTGTATTCTGAAATACATTCCAGTCATTTATGCTCTCTTTTCCTTACATAACAACATTTTTACTACATGGCATGGGCTATTCTTGTCATGACCTACATGACTTGGCTCACCTTTGAGTCACTAGATTTTGGTTTTGGTGTATGTGGCAAATCACTTATCTATAAATGTGGACTCCAAAGAGTCACTCCTTCCTAGGTCCTCACCTCTTTGCAATATAATGTTACTACTCTTCCCATCAAGAGATGGAACTGACTTTTTGAAAAACCTTCCTGGATTACAGGCTAGTCTTGTGACTGCTTCGACTAATAGAATATGGAGGAACTGACAGTGGGCAAGTATCAAGGCCTTGGTCTTCAGTGACCTTCCAGTATCTATTCTTCCTCTATTAGAACCCAGTCTCCATGTTAAGAAATTCAGGTGAACTAACTGGGGAGAGAGGCTCCAAGGAAAACAGACCACTTAGAGAGGAGAGCTAGTACCAAGACACTACACGTGGAAGGCCATCTTGGACCTTCCCACCCAGCTTGGCCCAGCCCAGCCCAGCTCCCAGTTGGATGCAATCATGTGCATTCACCCAATGGACACATAGCAAAGCAGAGATCTGCCTGAATCTTGAGCCTCATAATCATGGGCAATAAACCATTGTTCTCTTAAGCCACTATGGTTTGTTATACAATAAATAACTGAGATAATTTCAGAAATGCAACACAGCAGTGATAAAGAATTGACATCATTTTTTTTAAGGAGGACTTCTCTTATATCAGGTTTCTTTACATACTAATTTGTATTCATAACTAATTGTGGTTTAGACAAGATGGTTCTTTAAGACATGGGGAACTATGAATTTTAAAAGTAAATGACTTCTTAGTAATAAATATAATGTAAAATAAAATATTTTGAAGCTGAAAAGTCATCTAAAGATATGAATGATAAATATGCTTTTAATCTAATAAAGTTGTAGGAATTATAGTATCTCAAAATGATAGCTTATGATAAATGTAGGCTTATTTCAATTCATCATTTTACAGAATTTCAAATACTCAGTATATAACAATTAATATAGTTATGTAAAGGAGTCTTATGATCTATGTTTTATCCTAATAGAAATGATTTCAAATCATAATAAAACAAATAATGAGAAAGAAGTTTTATAATAGGTCTTTTTTGAAAGAATTTTGTTTACCAGCACTAGATAGAACTGGCTTTAATTCTCATTTTGAGTATCTATAGTTTTACCAGTTTTAAGCAGTCATTGCAAATGGATATTTCTAATTACATTTACTTTCAAAACAGATAGTAAAACTTTGTAACTTAGTGCTAGTGAAGAGGAAATTCAAGCTACTCTCAATGCGGTGATCTGTGTTTTTTTCCGCTACAACTGCCAGACGGAAAATAGAATAATTACATCATCTAGACATTCTGACCACATGGGATCAGGCAGTGGGATATTTAGAATCATCCAAAATTTTACTATCATGTCATCAAACATTATATTACTGGGATTTATCATATATTATGGATGATACATATCATTATTTACATGATAACAATACAGAGATAGGGAGGAATGGAACTCCCAAACAATAACTTTCTGGTGTCTTATAAAGTGCCTTATTATTATTATTGGAAACAGATATAAAGGGCTAAATAGTATTTGTTTAATTTGTGATTAAATTAACTTGTGATCCAGGGTGATTCTGTCAAAAAGCAAATCAAACCATGTACTTGTTCTGCTGAAAATCTTCCCATGGCTCCCATCCCCCTTAAGTAAAAGCTGAAGTCTTTGCTACAGTCCATAAGACCCTACATTATCTCCCCCTGCCCTGTTCCTACTCTAACCTCATGCCCTGCTACTCTCCTCTCTTTTATTTCACTCTGGCCACAATAGGCTCCTCGCTGCCATGAAACTCACAGGCTCCTGCCCCAGGCCCTTTGCATTGCCATTCCCACCCCTCAGCCTGGAATGCCTTTCACCCGGGTACCTGCATGGCTAACTCCTTCAGGTCATCTTTTCAGTAAGGACTTCCTGTCCACCCTATCAAAAATCTCCTTCCCCTAGGTCACCTGCACTGTCACCAACACATCATATTCCCATTACATGCTTTGTTTTGTCTCCTTAGCACTTATTCTATTACTCTTTTTCTAGCAAAGTAGGGTATTAGCTCCTACTAATTTTTGTCTTTTGTATGCATTCCTACATCTGCTATTCCTAGAATAATGCCTGGCACATAGTAAGTACTCAATACATACCTATTGGATGACTACATCCTCCTGGTGAGACATTCTGTTAGACCCTGGGGTTACAGACTTAACTAAAACATGGACCCTGGCCTTGCAGACCTCACAACTGCTAGGAACTTCATACATGCTACTGTGTTTTGGACTAAAATATATTTTTACATTATATTATATTCAAAAGCATATTCTATCCAAGAAGGGTGCTCATTGAGTTTATAACTGCAGTTTAGAAAGTATTTACCTTCCTTATAAATATTGAGATCAAATTTAAATAAAGGTGTAATTAAATCTTCACATCCTGGCATGTGCTTCCCTCCATTTGGGTAAAAGTCAAGGTGACCACAAGCATTAATAGTTCCAGCACCTGAAATTTAAAAAAGCAAGATACATGCTTCTAAAACTCTCCTCCATCTTTCAGTGCACTTTCGATTTGTGTTAAAAACTTACCAAGCTCAAAGAAGAGGCGAACCGCATTTGTATGGATAACATCAACAAAGTTGGCGTCTGAGGGATCCAGCCTGACTTCATTTGGAGTGTCATGGAAACACGGCCCTGCTGGGTCCAACCCTAGGAAAAAGCATAATGTGTATTAAACTAAGACATATAAAAGTACACTGACAGTGTTGCTATTTTGGAAGGATAGATGGTGAAGGCAAAGCATTCTTTCTTATATGATTTATGTAGGTCAAACACCACTCAGCCTGAAGGACAGATACATAAACTGTAGGATGTGTTCATATTTATAAATGCAGGATCTGTATATACTGCAATGTCAGATTCCTACACACAAGCAAGGCTGTGTCTGGACAATACCAAACCAGCTAACAAAGTCAGAAAAGTCAAAGCAGCTACTCTAGGGTCTGTACATGGAATACGATACAGACAACTAAGGTTACGGATTGCAGACCACCTTAAAAGCAACATTTATATGTAAAAAAAAAAAAAATAAAAGCTAAGAACTCTTTAAAATGTAAAGATGAATCACAAAGCAACACAGTTAAAACAACAGAATCATAGTCCTCAGTTAAGGCTCACTTAGTTCCATTCATTGTATTACAAACAAAAGCCTGAAGCCCAAAGAAGTGAAGGGACTTGACAAGGCCATCATATGTTAGATGCAAAATGGACCATCATATATAAGATGCAAAATGGTGGTCAAACTTCAATCCATTGTCTCCCATTCAAATGTCTACTAAAGCAAAGGTTAAGATATCTAAGGTCTCTAAAATGTTATGATCGTTCACATAACTCTTCATTTACATATTTGATGATTATTTATCAAGCACTTATTATGTGCCAGCAACAGGGTTTTGCAACTGGATACAAGGAATAAGGTCCTCAAGGAGCTTTCTGTTTGGAGGGGAAGACACTGCAATTCAATGTGCTCAGTGCTGAGACAGGCGAGCGCAGGTGTTATGCAATACAGAGAAGCAACAGACAACCCAGGCTTGGGAAACTGGGACATGCTTCTGCTAGAGATGAGAAATGCAAGCAGAGATCTGAGGGAGTAGAAGAGTCAGCCAGGGTGAAGATGAGGTCGGTAGCACCCTGGGAAGAGGACAGGCCAGTATACGTGGCCATCAGGCGAGAGGGTTAATACATTTGGGAAACTGCAACTAGCTTTCAAGGGCCAGTGCATAGGATTTTAGAATTTGGTGAGAGATGAAGACAGCATTGTAGTCAGGAGCCAGATGTAATCAGCTGAGCCACAATGAGTTTGGACATGACCTGGTTGTCGATGGGCAGCTCTTACAAGTTTGCCAAAAGGGAGGTTTACAGTCAGATTTGTATTTTAGCAAAGCCTCTTTGCTGTGAAGTGGAGACCAGGGCTCAGAGTGGAGGGGACTCAGAGCTGAGCTGTATCTGACCCCTTGGGAAAATTCAGCAGGAGTGAGCGATGAATGTGCCACAGCTGTGGGGTGTTCAATACCTCGGCATGATAGACTGTTAAATGATTCCATTTTTGTTTTTATTTTTCTGAATCATATAATCATGAGAAAGAAATGATAGAATGAGAGGAGGCAAGGAGAGGAGAGAAGAGGGGGCCTAGATAGAACCTTGAAGAACACCAACATGTAAGGAAAGGCGAAAGAAAAGGAACCTGCAAGGGAGCCTGGAAAGAAGCTGTCAGACAAGAACAAAGACAACCAAGGAGATGCAAGACAGGGAACCACAGGAGCCAAAAGAGGGTGTTCCAACAGCAAGGAGGGGGTTAGCAAGTCAAATTCTGCAGAGGGGCCAAGGAAAGTAAAGATGGGAAAGGCCTGGAAGAGTCCCACTAAGAAGCCATTGGTGGTCATAGTGGTTTTGCGAGCAGGACTGGGGAAGAAACCAGACTGCAGTGGGTTGAGGAGAGCACAGCCCTCAAGGAAACATGGCCACTTCCTCTTAGAGGAGTTGGAATCTGAGTGAGGCAAGCTAGGGTATTGGTGAGAAGAGGCTGTGGCCTAAGCAGGAATCAGGACATGTCAGTTGGTTTTTTTTGACATGTCAGTTCTAATAGAATTAGGGAAAAGAGTTTGACAAGATGGGAGGAAAAGCAGACAAATGACAGTCAGGTCCCCAAAGCTGGCAAGGGACTCAGAGCACAGGTGAAAAATAAAATTAGACAGAGGGCCAATGAAGTAAACCAACAGGCATTTGTGCAAAATATCCAAGCTTAAAAGAAAGCTGCCCAAGTATTTGTCTCACAATTAATCTTCAACTCTAGGGAGAATTGTTTATGCCAATGTACAATTGCTAATTAGATACAATCTTCTGATGATGTCGGGAGCTCAGTAGAGATGTATTCAAATATAGCAGGTACACCTCAGATGATGTTGATGTGAGGACAAGGCAACCAGATATGTTTTTTTAAAAAAGACAACTAGTGTTTTCAAGATGCAGGGAAGAGAGAATCTTGGATCTGTGGTTCTAAAAGATCTCAGGAGGAAGATCAACAGAGGGGAGAACTAGAAGGTTCAACCTCTTAATTGATCTGAGTTGGGGAGGCATGAGCCCTATTGCATGAATGAGAGCTTCACCCTTTGGAAGCTGAGTTTGATGTATGTATTTGGATGCATGAGTGTATCAGCATAGAGAATAACCTCTTCTCCAATAGGAAAACACTGCTGCTATTTATAGAGAAAAGGAAAACAAAACCTTGACTGAGTAACCCCCATGCTACAGTCATCTATGATAACTGCCTTCCAGTTATAGAGAATTACCAGAGACACAGAAACTTATGCATGTCCTAAAGTCTACCATATTTTGTTTTTAACTGGTTTTATTATAAAGCCAACATTTTTTTTTTGAGATCTCGGTTCTTTTGTTATCCAAGGAACATGATTGTTCAAAGACTAACCACTTAGAAGGAATATAGACTGCAACATCCAAATTATGTAGATCCTTCAGATGTTTAGAGAGCCTTTAAAAACCTATCATTGTCTATTTATTCAATAGGATAATTCACTTGGTAGGAAACCCTGAAGTTAAAAATTATCCGAGTTGTGAAACAAGAATTCAGGAAAACAAAATCTCCATAAATTTATTGCAACCTAGTGTGAATTTTTGACACATATATGGCAATGTTCTTCCTTTTAATTTACAGCTGAAATACTCCCCTAAGCTGTTAGGCCCCATGAGATTCCATTCCTACGTTGGGCCCATTTCTTCCATTCTCTGGCAAAGATTTTTGCTACACAATAACTTTGGAGCTGACTCGTTGGGAAAGACCCTGATGCTGGGAAAGATTATTATTGTGAGGGCAGGAGGAGGAGAAGGGGTGGCAGAAGATGAGATGGTCGACTTAATGGACATAAGTCTGAGCAAACTCTGGGAGATGGTGAAGGACAGGGAAGAGTGGTGTGTTGCAGTCCATGGGGTTGCAAACAGTTGGACACAACTTAGTGACTGAATAAAGAACAACAACTTCAGGGTAAATATACAAATTTTAATATTCTATGTAGAAATGGTAGTGGTAGGCTAGGGCTGGAGTTGGAATCAGAGATCCGGGAAAAAGAGGAAACTTTCAGCAGGAAAAGCCTGTTATACCATGAAACTGCAGAGGCAATATATTAATACTTTAAACCCAATTTAGAATGTGGAAAAAATATTTTAAATTTAAATCTGAAATTAAAGCGCGCGCGTGTGTGTGTGTGTGTGTACACCAGAGCTGCAATGTATTGTTTCAATGAACACAAAGTGTGTACCTACTATGTGCCAGGACTGGGATGTGAGTGCAGCAAGGAAGTCTTTCTAACTAGTTCAGAGTCTACTGAAAATAACAGGCACATGAATAATTAATTAGACTTTGTGATACAACATTTGTATCTTCATATATAATAAAGGTATATTTCAGAGAGTGTGGGAAGCAGAAAATTAACTTTGTCTGAGGAAGAAATATCTGAGAAAATTCTCAAAGGATGACCAGCGGGTGTTTAGGGTGAGGGGGAACAGGACTTGCAAAGGCACAGAATCATGAAAATATGTGAAGAAACATGAAACATTCATACAAGTTCAGATGCTTTAGACAATGAAAAGTTTCAAGCAGTGGAGTGGCACAGCCCGTGTTTAGAAAGATAATGACACTGGCAATACCTGTGTAAGACTGGACTACCAGCCTGTTCTGAGAGGTGTCGAACTCTTTGCAACCCCATGGACTGTAATCCACCAGGCTCCTCTGTCTATGGGATTCTCCCAGCAAGAATACTGGAGTGGGTTGCCATTTCCTATTCCAGGGGATCCTCCTGAACCAGGAATCGAACCCACATCGCATATGTTTCATTGGCAGGCAGAACCAGGCAGGGCACCAGCCATGAATGGCAAAAACTCAGGAGATGGAGAGGGCCTGAGCTGGGACAGTGACTGGGCCACAAAGAGGCACAACGCAGATGCAGGAGACAACATTCAAAAGTTTAGCAACTGGAATAGCATGGGCCTTAAACAGAACAGTCCAGCATTCCAGCTACAATGGGTGAGTAGGACCACCGTGGAGTTTCTGTCTCAGTCTGTGTAGAAGCCATTATGGAACTGCAAAGCATGGAATGTGTCATCCTTCAGTCGACCATCCCCGACAGGTGGATGATCACAGGTCCCATTCCTCTGTCACCACAGATAATGCTACGGTGAACACTCTTGAAAATGGATTCACACACTCACCCTTTGGAAGTTTTAGTTTAGGGAAGGTCACATTTTCTCTTGTCTTCCATTTGCTTCTGTGACCTCCTTGGTGTTCAGATATTTGATACTTTGTACACAAACAAATACGTAAACAAACCCAAGGACCATCTGCAGGGCAGGCTTACCAGTTATCCTTCCCAGGCCTGGTGTCCTTGACCCAGCTTCCCCAGCCAGATGAGCTCCCAAGCTGTGGCCAATCAAGTGTACTTTAGAAGCGGAATATCCAAACTTTTTCTGAGAGGATATTTTAAAAGGAAAACAGAACAAGCATTATTATTTTTTTTTAAAGCAGGTGGAATGGCTGAATCTGGCTTAAAATGAAAAAGGAGCTGACATGTTTCTCCCTCTCCCCCCCAGGATGGGAAGACTGGTAAAATGACAAAGCAACCCTATGTCCACCTACATCCTTATCTAGCTGAGGGAGAGAGCATCAGGTGGGCCAGAGGAATACCTTCTGTCGGCGCTTTCTCCCTGTGCTAAAGGGCCTCGCAGTTCTTGGGAACAGGAAGGAAACCAGCCCAGTGACCCTTCTGTAGCTTCCAGTCCACGTTCGTCCTTCCTGAGGCCCAAACCATCCCGCACACCCCCACACGGGCTAAAGGCAGCTCACGCCCAGGGCGGGAGGCAAACGATTCACTGAACATTTAAGTCAGCCAACACGTTCCCCTTCAGTTCAGCAAAATCTCCTCCGACTTTTTTTATGCGCCTTTCCGAGCCCATAGTTGAGGACCCAAGATCAAGGAAGAAATTCACGAAAGCTTAGTTGGACCTGGATTTTCTCTGAAGAGGAGGTGAATCCGTTTCCATCCTTGTGGACAAAGACACACTCGAAGTTCCTCCTTGCAGTCTAGCCTCCCCTCAGGAGCGGGAAGAGTGGATGGAGAGGGAGGGCAGCCGTGAGTGTCCGGCTCCCTGCCTCTGCTCCGGCCTGAGTCCTAACTGGGCTCAGTGTTGGGCCCGCTCTCCTGACCGACCCTCAAAGTGAGCTGCAGCGCCTGCCGGTCCCCTTCCCGTTGCCTTGTATTTTCCCACAGTCCTGTCCCCACACTCCGTCAGGGCAGAAACGCTGTCTCGCTCACCGTGTCCCTCCAGTGCCTAGACGGAGCCCGGCCCACAGCAAGTGCGGACTGAAATATTTGTTGACTGTAAGGAGTGAAATCTTAAGAATCTGAAAGGGTCATAAACCTTTAGATTTTTTTACTTCACCGCATTGCATGCTGGGAAACTACTTTCTATTATGGTGAAGCATTTGGAGATTTATAAATGTCTCAAGAGTATAGCCCTCATAAATAGCAAAGCCTATTTTATTCTCTTTGAAAATGCGTAGATTCAAGAGTTGTGCCTGGACTGGCCGAGGGACCTATTTCACTGCCATAGAACCCAGTTTCTGTGGGGAAAACGCACTTCACATTCTGCACAGATAGCGCCTATAACGCAGAAACAACTTCTCTATCGTTAAGCATAGGTTTACCTTGTGCTAAAAGGAGCCGAGATGGTCCTCCAGGCCGACCAAGGCGGCGACCCTGAGGGGCGGGGATGGGTTTGGTGAGGAGCCGGTGAAGACACACTGCCACCAAGTGGCGACTTCTAGAACTACATGCACTTTCACCAGAAGGAACCTAACATTCCCTTTTTGGCTACCATACACCAACGCTGATTATTTCACATGTTCGGTCCTTGTGTAAACTAATAAAAAAGTATATAGAATTGCCCCCAAATTCTTGGTGTTATGATACAAAGCTGGCTCAATGTAATGTAAAAGAAATCAACTGTTCTTACCACAAGAACATCAATAAAATAAGCCACCTCAGCACCAACGACGCGGAGATTGTTTACAGCGTGGATATATTGCAGTGAGCCGTTAATCCAGTCTAAATTAATGCAGTTCACATCTTCTACTTTTAGCAGTACCTAAAAAGATTTATTGTAAGTATTAAAAATAAGAATTAAAGGAAACCAGAGTGCCCAAACAACTGATTCTACAACGAGAAATAACATCTGCAAGTATTGAGGACCTACCATGTGCTTGGCCCTGTCCTAACACTTGTACATATATTAACTTATTTGATATTCACTTAAAGATAAGCAAACCTAGGCAAATATAGGTTAATTAACTTGCCCATGACCACAGAACTAGTCAATAGAACCATAATATTCCAGACAGCCTGACTCTACCACACTATATGGCTTGTAAATAATTAATTGCTTACTATGTTAGCAGTCTATTAATCTTGAGTAGAAGAGAGGAAAATTAATTTCCTGGAGTGAACTTGGAAATGTTTTCCTTAAATTAAATGAGAAATTTGTCATACCATTCAATCTTTTGTCAAAGATGAGAATTTACTAAGAATAATTATAAAAGTCTTCTATCATAATCTGTGCAATTCATAACCAGTGAAAATAAATGGGAAATGGGTAATTCATTTGGGTCTTGGAATATGGTTAATGTGAATAACTGAATGGAGAATTTCCATGAATACACATTAGTACCTTGCAAAGTACATTCACATTAAACATAAAGCTTTAATACACTATAAAGAAGAGATTATTCACATCATACATTGCACATGTCTTGCTGCCATTTGCCGTCTGATTTCCATCCAGGTATGTTGATACGTGTGATCTTCTCTGTTGCGAAGTGTGAGGCTTGGATAGTTAAATAATTAACTGCACTGACTTCCTGTTTCAGGTGAAAAGAAATTAAGGTAAAATAATTGAAAATTGTTTAACATTTAGTAGAAATATTCTAAATTTGCTAAAAAGTTTTCCTCTAAGTTTGACTTTAACAACCATCTTTAATACATTTTTATCAAAGAAATAGTTACTGCTACATATTGCAAAAGTACCAAGGAATTATTAATGCATTACAAAATGCAACATACAAATTTTATCATATGGAAAAGAAATCAAAATGTTTGGTTTCAAGGTAATGCTTGTTAGAATTTCAGTAAGCCTTACTTTTGTACAGCATTTTTCAGTTGTCAGCATAACTCGTGAGAATTACCTTATCCAAGGCTTAGATGCATATTCCAAAGGTGACAAGATAAGATTGTCCACCACACTTTATGAACAAGGAGTAGAGGTTAGATCCTTATCACATGAAATACAACAGCTATTTAAGATATTTTATGTGATGGTGTTAAATATTGTTTTGTATTTCTTGTACTTTGTTAGATGGTTTTTATGACAAAACTCTTGAAGGCTTTAGAATACTATTAATTTAAGTGATTTTGTTATTAAGAGAAAAATTATAAGTCAAAAGTATAAGCAATTAAGTAGAGAAAAATAAAAGGTCAAATCAGCAAATAGCAAGTCTGACAATGGTAATCTTAAACTAAAAAGCAGCAAATTTAGATACTCATGAAACTGAAATGAATGGCTGATTACTAGCTACCTGTATTTAACGGTATATACGATTAATCATACGACCTACTAAAGTTTCTCCAAGACTGTGAACAAACAATTAAGAGAATCCCAAGCTGGCTTACAAATGGCAATAATTATAATACAGATAAAACTCATATCTATCTAGTTATAGGTACTCTGTGAAAGAGTGAAAGCGTTAGTTACTCAGTCGTTTCCGACTCTAAGAAACCCCATGGACTGAAGCTCACCAGGCTCCTCTGTCCATGGGATCCTCCAGGCAAGAATACTGGAGTGGAGAGCCATTCCCTTCTTCAGGGGATCTTCCTGACCCAGGGATCTAACCCAGGTCTCTTGCACTGCAGGCAGATTTTTTACCCTCTGAGCCACCAGGGAAGCCCTGTGGGTACTCTGTAGAGTAGCTCATTTGGCCTTCTCAATGCTGTGACATAGGTACGAACTTTACAGGTTAGGAAGGGGTGTAATGAGAAAGGAAGTCACTTGTCCAAAAGTACTGCAGCTGATGAATCCTGGAGAAGGATTCAAACCCACACGGTCTCTCTCTAAAGCCATGCACTTCACCACTGGGCTTTCAAGTTGTGATCTGATCATAGTGCTTTCTCCTGATGGGTTGCATACCAGCTGAAGAATTTGTGATGTAGATAATAAAATCTATTGTATTGGGGCTTTTCAGCAAGCACTTCTCTGTTAAATAATCAAATCCAAGTGCAAAGATGTTTGTATATCTATGTATTTAAAAGAACTCAATGTCCATTCCAACTCTGGCTGGAGCCCCTTAAACACCTACTGTATTCCTGTTTCTACACACAAAAAAAAACCTAGTTAGGAAACGTCATTTAGTAGAAAAAGTATGTATAGTTTTCCACTGTCATGAGAATAGTTTGAAGAAGTGGGACCTCGAACAGGCCTCAGAATGGCAATCTGACAAGTATTATGGTATCCAAGCATTCTTTGTTGTCACAAAAGCCACTAAGGATTTATTAAAGTAGGAAAAGGCAACAAAACAACTTTGTTCACTGTGCATTCAATCTAGCACACCACTCTGAAATGACACACTAACTTAGGAAATGGGAAACTCCCAAACAACATCATGGAATCAAAAGCAGACAACTTGGATCCCACAAGGACAGAAACTGAAAAGGGTGTCAGGACAGAACAGGTTATCTAGAGATGAGAGTAGAGTATTGATGTCTAGCTGGGTGCTGGGGTGTTTCCTCTCAACATTCTTATTTTTGAGTGGTCATGGAGCCTAAATGACATAGAATCAACCCATCCCATAAGTGAGGAAAAAACAGTCACCAGTTAGGCATGTTCTAGCCTTGACAAAAGCTGCAGGCACAGGAACCACTGTAATTACACAACTATGCATCACGACTAGCAATGGCAATGAGTCACTTAAGGTTAAGAAGTCACGGATACTATACTCTCATGATTTAAAAAATAAAAAAAGAAAGAAAGAAAGAATGAAAAGAAGTCACAGATTGATGGGAAAAAAAATGTTGGTTTTATTCTTCCAGGAAGGTAGCTGAGACCTACGCCTCAGAAGACCATTTACATCAACAAATTGATCCTTGACAATTCACCAATTGCTAAGCCTTGATTACTAGTTCCTTATTTGGTAATTCCCCAATTGCTAAGTCTCAATTGCTAAGCTACTGCATGATTTACTTCTTTCTCATAAACAAAGGTAATCAAATTTATACAGTATAGCATATGAGTCAAATCTGTGATGATCCTTGCTTTTAGCATCACACCATGACTCAGTGTACAACCTAGCTGTTATTAAAAACCACATTAACAACAAACCCTCAGGTGTCTATCTATTGCAAAATTCGGGTACAGATCTGTGTTCTCACACATGATTCTTTCCAAATGGAAGGGAGTGGGAAAGATGTGGAAAGCACTGTTTTTATGGCCCTTTTCTTAGGAAAGTATTCGGTTTCTGATGTTCTCTTCACTGCCCATTGGGCTCAGCCTTGCCTGAAGACTGGTCTTCATCACCTTCTGTCTTACTGCCTGTGCTCTACAAAGTTCTAGTGCATGTCTCTGTCCAGAAGGATAACGGATCAGCAAGTCCTATGAGGGCTGAGGGTCAACATCAGGGGATACAGTTAGTCCTGAGCAGAAAAATTCACCCTGAAAGTCCCAAATGGATAGAGGTGCCCCCAAACATTTGCATTACATTTTTTAAAAATGTAGTAATATACACATAACATAAAATTACTGTTTCATCCATCATTAAGAGTAAAATTCACTTGCACTGTCATTCACATTGTTGTGCAAGCAATACCACCATCCCAGAACTTTTTCATCATCTCAGACTGAAACTCTGTACTCATTAAACAGTAACTCCCATCGCCCCCTCCCCCAACCCTTAGTAACTATTGATATTCTACTTTCTGCCTCTATGAATTTGACTATTCTTGGTATGTTATATAACTGGAATCATATATTTGTCCTTTAGTGTCTGGCATATTCAATTTAGCAAAACGCTTGCAAGCTATTGTACCATCTATTAGAATTTCATTTCCTATCTACAGCTAGGTAATACTTTTCTCTTTCCTTTTTGACAGTTATAGAAATCAAACTTTTGAAGACATTTTCATTATAAGTTTCTCTGTACTCAAATTAAAGTCTTGTCTTTTCTTCTTCGTTCTCACTAGAGCCGTAATTTATAGAGCAGATGGTATATTTCAGTAAAGAGTTATGTGTACATATGTATGTGTGAGTCTGGTAAGTAGATAGCTATGTTTGCAGGGTGTGAAGGCCTAGAAGAAGGCTGTCTTGGCTGGTGAGATCTGCCCTGCATGGGACGGGTCTGGTGGAAAGCAAGCCTCAAGGTTATAGATGCACGTAAAGACTGGAGATGATTTTTGCTCCTTCCCTGGCTCCTTGCCCACCTGCCCCCTAAATATAGATGCTCCACCTGGGTCTCATATCATGCTTTGTTCTCTCCCCTGAGATCTCATGCACTCTGAGTTTCAACTCTCACCTCTGTGTAAAAGATTTTTAATGTATTTCTGCAGCTCCAGACCGCCTGCCAAGTTGGACGACTAACATCTCCAATAGTCTAAACCAACTTCAGTTGTCAAAAATTGAACTTTTTCTTTTGCCCTAAATTTTTCAGGCAAGAGGGTCATTTTTCTTCCTATCATGCATATGTGAAATCTCAGGACAGCTGATGATGTTTAACATGTCAGTTTTTTGTTAAAGTACTCACTCTCATTACTCTGGCTCTGGTTAGTTCCTGTGTCTGATCCAAATCGCACTAGAGCTTTATTCAGTGCTGTCAAATAGAACTCTGTGATGATGGAAATGTCCTATATTTGTGCCATTCAACACAGTAGCCACTGGTCATGTGTGGCTCTTTCTTGAGCACTTGAAATGTGGTTGGCGTAGCTGAAGAACTGAATTTTTAGCTTTATTTCAAGAGCCACATGTGGCTAGTGACTAGACAGCACAGGACTAAACCGGCTGGCAGTGCCTCCCTCTCCCCACCCCCCAACCCCTGCTCTCCCAGCTCCAAGCCAGAAAGTACACTGCAGCTAGAATAAAGGTCCTAAAGCCTCCTAAAAACTCACAGCGGGTCCTCATGGCTCCCAGGTAATAGCCCATCTCCTCAGGAAGGAATTATACAAATTGTTTCTAAAACTGTGTTTCTCACTCACTCCACATTTGAAGACTTCCTCTCTGCCTTGTCTAACCCAACAGTGGGTCATTTATCAGAGGCACTTCCTCTTGTCTCTCTCCTTTGTGTGTGTGTGCGCGCGCGCATTCACACCATTTCCCTGTCTTTGCATTTGAAAACCCTGCCCTTCCTTCAGGACACACCTCAAACCCTGGTAAAAGTCTTTCCTGGTTCCCATCCCCACTCCCAAGGGGAAGGTAATCCCTTCCTCTCTCTGTCCCCAAAGTCTTTGATCTGTTATCTTACATCACAGACCAAAATCATGCTGCAACAAAGCTATTTGGTTACATATCTCATTTCTTCTAGTAAATTTAAGACACTGTCTTGTTTATTCAATTTAGTACATAATAGGTATTGTTGCTTCTTCAGTCTTACAATGTGGAAGGTTCTCAATTAATATATTAACTGAACAAAATATCAAATTTATCCCATATGAAACATGTATTCAGAGCAATCTTTGTTTTTAAATAACAGGGCAAATAATGAGAGAAATATCTGGCTCACAACACTAAAAAGAATTGTTTCCCTTTAACTCAAGAGTTTCTACCAGAATAGGTTATCTATGGCTTCTGTACTTGGAGTAACATCTTCTATTTTAGAATAATATGTGTGTGAAGGCAGCGAGTTAACTTACCTGATGGACTTTGGGATTCTGTCTAGTGTAGAGCAGAAAGCGAGTGTTTATCTTTTCTGGAGACCAGGGTAACCCTGCAAACTGTCTTGAGAAGGTCCCAGTCCATGGCAGACCATCTTTAAAGCATCCCACCCTTTCATAGCAAACTTCTTCCCCTGCAGCTAAAAGATAGAGTGTTAGTATTATAGGAACCAGGCCCAGAGAATGGCTATGTTTCACACTAAGAGGGTTTATTGAAATTAGTCTTTAAACAAGTGTGACTCAGGGAGAGTCTTTTCCAAAAAAATGCTCTCCCTTCCGCTTCCTCTCCCGCCCCTTCTCCATCTCACGGCCATGACCATATGGACTTCAGCACCACAGATGAGAGTGCAGGAGATCTGACATGATACATCCTTGACTTTGGATAATTATGTTACCTTTTTTAGTCTCAGTTTCCTTCTCTGTAAAATGGAGATAATTCCACTTACCTTACAGCCTGGTTATGAAGATTAAATGAACCCTCACAGAGGATAGTCCTCGTTAAAATGGGCCAGAGACATAAGATTGGATACTGTGTCTTCCCTGAGGGCCTTCTTTTTCTTATAAGACTTATAACTCTTGATGAAAGGTATCTTTGTGTCTCCAGAGCCTAGTGCCATGCCTGGCACACAGCAGGAGTCTGAAAAAGGTTTCAGAGTGTATGCCTATGTGCCAAGTTGCTTCAGTTGTGTCTGATTGTTTGAGAGCATACAGACTGTAGCCCGTCAGGCTTCTCTGTCCAAGGGATTCTCCAGGCAGGAATACTGGAGTGGGATGCCATGCCCTCCTCCAGGGGATCTTCCCCACCCAGGAATCAAACCTGTGGCTTTTATCTGCATTGGCAGATGGATTATTTATCACTAGCACCACTTAGGAATCCCTTCAGAGAGTATAAATGAGAGCAAAGTTTCATTCAGTTTTAACTGTTTCTTCTTTCTGGAGCTCACTTTACTCATCTTTAAAATGAGAGGTTTGGGGAAAACTAGGTCTTGATCATTTCTTTCATTCATTGACTCTAATTCATTTTTTCACTATGATCTTACACTTTCATTTATAGATGAACACAAAAACTAAAAGCTGGTTCTTTGAAAAGGTAAAATTGACCAGCCTTCAGCCAGACTCACCAAGAAAGAAAGAGAGGACTCAAAAACATAAATCAGAACGGAAAGAGAAGCCAGTACTGACACTGTTGAAATACAGAGGATCATAAGAAACTACTATGAACAATTATATGCTAACAAATTGGACAACCTAGAAGAAATGGATAAATTTCTAGGGACACAAACCTACAAAGACTGAACCATAATAAAATAGAATATCTGAACAGATCAATTACTAAGGAGATTGAATCAGTGGTCAAAAAGCTCCCAGTAAACAAAAGGACAAGATGACTCCACTGGTGAATTCTATCACACGTTCAAAGAAGAAGTAATAGCAGTCCTTCTCAAACTCATCCAAAAAATAGCAGAGAAGAGAACTCTTCCAATTCATTATACAAGGCCAGTAATACCCTGAATACCAAAATTAGACAAGAATGCCACAAGAAAAGAAACTTAGGGGCTATTATTTCTGATTGACATCAATGCAAAAATTCTCAACAAAATTTTAGCAAACAGAATTCAATAATACATGAAAAAGATCATACATGTCCTGCGTCTCTTACATCTCCTGCTTTGGCAGGTAGGTTCTTTACCACTGGTGCCACCTGGGAGCCCATACCTCAACACAATAAAGGTCATATATGTCAGGCCCACAGCTTAATCATCAGGGAAATACAAATCAAAACCTCAATGAAATATCACCTCAGACCTGTCAGAATGGCTGTTATAAAAAAAATAACCAGTGTTGGCAGCATGTGGAGAAAAGGCAAACTTTATGCACTGTTGGTGGGAATATAAATGAGTATAGCCATTTATATTGATACTATATATATGATATATATATGAGTATATTATATATTATATAATATTATATATTGATGTTATAAATATGATATATATATTATATATATGAGTAAAGCCATTATAGGTTTCCCTGGTGGCTCAGCAGTAAAGAATCTGCCTGCAATTCAGGAGACACAGGTTTGATCCCTGGGTTGGGAAGATCCCCTGGAAAAGGAAATGGTAACCCACTCCAATATTCTTGCCTGGGAAATCCCATGGACAGAGGAGCTTGGTGGGCTATAGTCCATGGAGTAGCAAGAATCAGACACGACAAAGCGACTGAATCACCACCATAGCCATTATGGAGAGTAGTATGGAGACTCCTCAAATAAATAAACAAAACTACCATATGATCCAGCAAGTTCACTTCCAGGTATTTATCTGCAGAAAATAAGAACATGAACCTCAGAAGACACATGCACACCCATGTTCATTTTAGTATTATTTATAATAGCAAAAGGAGAGAAGCCATCTAAGTTTCCATCAGCTGGTGAATAGAAACTGTAGAACATACATTTATACATTTGAACATTATTCAGCCATTACAAAATGAAATCTTGCAATTTGCAACAACATGAATGGACCTCGAGGGTATTGTGCTAAATGAAACAAATCAGATAACGATGATATATCAAGCTCATAAATACAGAGAACAGACCGGGGATTGCCAGAGGCAAGAGGTTGTGGGCCCGGGATAAACAGGTCAACTGTTTTTTTGTTTTGTATAAATAAATGTTTTAAAAACTTTATTTCATACAGTTTTTCAGAGTGATAGTTTAACTTATTCAATTATGATCTTAATTTATAATTATGATTTATTCAGTTACTGTTATTCAATTCAAAAAATTGATAATTTATTCTATTTATGATTATTTATTAATACTGGTTAGAGCTATTTGAAGACTTGAATTTGAGGATTTTCTTTTATCCCTTACCAAAATATATTAAATAAATCTCGATTTTCAAGTCCACTATTTTTTAACTTCATAGTTTTAGGAAATTTTGCTTTGCTTCATTTCCTAAGAATAAGATTCCATAGTAAATATATATGAGATATATTTATTAATTAATATATTTTATTATACATTATTAAATATATTATAATATTTATTGTATCTTTATTAATTTATATTTAATATAAATATAATTAAATACATTTATATTAGATATAAATATAGATGAGAGGAAATTAAAACATATTTTTAATCAGAGAAGTGTGTTAATCAGAGAAGTGTGTGTATGCTAAAAATATGTTCTTTCACCTGCCCACCCATACACCCAACCCTCTCCCCAGAGGCAACAACTTAAAACACATGTCTGCAGTTCTTATGGTTACCTCCATATCTCTATAAATAATGTGCTTACACTACTAGGTTTTGATTTATCAACGTCAGTCACACATGATCTATTAACTTGCTGCAATAATAAATGAGGATGTCATTAATCTACCTATTTCCTGGATCATCCAGGGCAAGAAACAGAAACCACTCTAGTTACTTTAACTGTAAGAGTTTAATAGAATACATTGTTACTAATCAGGTTTTGGAGACCTGAAGAGGAAAGGAGGAACTAACTACAGGGAGCAGCTCCTAGCAGAAGGGCTTGTGAGAGAAACAGAAGAGGTGGGGGCATTGGTACTGGTATTCAGGTCTCTGAGAAAGGGTTGCTAGCTGGCTGGGGCTGGCATCTTTGAGCGGGCAGCCTGCATCTAGTTCTGGGAGTATTAGGAAAATGTAAACTACTGCTGCTGCTCCTGGATGGTTGTTTGTGCAAAGTGAATGTCCGAGAGTCATGTCCGACTCTTTGCAATCCCATGAACTGTATAGTCCATGGAATTCTCCAGGCCAGAATACTGGAGTGGGTAGCCTTTCCCTTCTCCAGGGGATCTTCCCAATCCTGGGATGGAACTCAGGTCTCCATGCCTTTGCAAGACAAAGTTTGAAGAGATACTGAATCTCTGCCTGCCTTCCATCTCTGATATCTGTCCACTGCAATTTTACATTCATACTGTCAAGACTGATAATATTCAGTCCTTGTTCTACGACTAAAATTAAATCGCCCCTGTCTTATCTGTACACTGACTCTAAAAAAATTGAAACTCAATAAACCAAATTTATATTACTATGACTAGATAAATATTTCTTCCCTTCAGAGCCAGCCAGCATGCTATTTCCTTTTCGGCACTTCCATTGTTCACATACTCCTTCCCTTCAAAGGAGAATATTCAAATGAACTCTTACTTCCCACAATACACAAATTCCTCCAGGTCAGTGTCACTTTATCTGGCTCGACATTCAGATCATGCTTTTTGTGTGCCATTTCTGTTTTCCAGGATTCTCTGGCTGACTTTGTTTCCTCCTGTTGCAAGTGTGAACATGTGCCTTCTTCAATATATGCTAGAACTGTGCCGCGTCTCAATCAGTATTTCTCCTGCCTGGAATACATTCTGTTTTTCCTCTTGAAGCACATATACATTCAGTTCCAATTTGAACCAATGATTTCATATTGGATAATAGCTTTCTAATACAACCATCTATTTTTCATAGAAAGTCCAGCTGCCTTAGTTTTTCCATTCCAGGCCCCATGCCCCCACTTAGTTTTTCCATTCCAGGCCCCATGCCCCCACACCCACCACTGCAACACTCTAAGTTCTCAACTACATTATTCAGTCAAGGAAAGAGAGTTTGGGTTTAAAAATGAAGATTGTAAATACTGCATATTTTCTATGTTTGTAACTTATCAGGGGTATTGGTCATCAAGCCCTTTTCCCATAGGGCAACAGAAAGGGCATTAAAGTAAAAGAAATTAGATGTGGTTAAGAAATTAGATGTGACTTAACTGGCAACCACTCCAGTATACTTGCCTGGAGAATTTCATGGAGAAGCCTGGCGGGCTACAGTCCATGGGGTCGCAAAGAGTCAGATATGACTGAGCGACTAACACACAATAGCTTATCAACATCATAAGCTATTAAAACTATTTAGGAAAAAAAATGGAAAGATTAATAGCTGTTTAAAAATACACATTTAAATACACATATAAAATTAGTAACTTGAAATTGGGCCAGTAATTTAAATAGCCTAAATACCAAAGGATATAGTTCTAAAAGTATAGAATTAAAGATATTATCTAGCCATTTAAATGTTTACAGAGAATTTGTAATGAAACATTTAAAGAAAATGAGAATGATATAG